GGTAATCGGGGCCCGCATTATCAAAAGGTGGCAACACATTTGCAACCAGTGTTGCCAGGGCCGGATTTACGGGAGGGGAACCCGGGCTACGGCACCGGGGCCCCCAAAAATAGACTTCAGAAAAAAAAATTCAAATTCAGACTAGTAATCAACTTTTCCTTTCATATTTTTTCTCGCGTTTTACCTCTACCTACAGTACTTTGTACAGACATGATTTCATTAAATATTGGAAACAATGGAAAATAATTTGAGGCCAAGGGGCCTCTACTCCTTTGTTGCCCCGAGGCCTCCAGACCTCTAAATCTGGCCTTGAGTGTTGCAAATGTCTGTCGGCGGTTATCACTTAACATCAGGTGAATCGCCAGCTAGTTTGCACTTTCTCAAAAAAAGAAAAACAGAAGCCACGAGCTTGATACCACCCTCTGGGTTGGGCTCTCCATGTGCTCATGCGTGTATAAGAGTTCTAACGTTTTTACCTTGATTCTAATATTTTAACTATTACTGAACTTGAATATTGACAACTATTATAACGACAAGCAGCACTAGTGGACAAATCGTCCGTTCAGAACACCTTAACCTGTGGCTTATCCCTCAACTGGGATGCATATCGCCACGTTCAAAACACTTACCCTCTGGCTTATCCCTCACAACTGGGATGCATATCGCCACATTCACAGTTACCAGTGATTTATCAAACTTAGGTGGCTTTACCGGTTACACCGGTCGTGTATTACTACGTTGTCTAAGTACAAGTGATGGTGTTCACAACGGATATCCATCACCAGTTCAAGCCTTAAATCTTCCAACTACTAAAATGCTCGGTAGCTTATCCGGGTAATCCAGTTGTGTATCGCTATTTTACATTTTCTCAAATATGATAAGTAATTAATTAACTGGAAGGTACTCACCAAAACTTTCGTTACATTTAACCAAAAGATTTTATCACCATTACGTATAGTAAGTACAAAACACACTGTTTTATTTTACGAGGGTAGGTACCCAAGGAGATGTCGCCGATTGTTTGAACAACCAAACGCGAATTTTCCTATTGAATCCCACTTCTGATGTAAGAGCTCTAACGTTTTTACCTTCATTCTAATATATTAACTATTACGAAACTTGAATATTAACAACTATTATAACGACAAGCAGCACTAGTGGCTATATCACCGTCCGGTGTACAGTGTTGCCAGCGCCAACACGTGCGTTATCTGTGGGAAGGAATGTCACCTACAAGCCATCAGGTTTCGATTCGGAGTGTACCATGACCCCGATGGTGAGAAGTGAGAACCGCCCTGGAACGCGGGTGTACCTACCTGATTATGTATGTTAGTACAATTTGGATATACTACGAGTTTCAAATAAGAATGTGTGCGTCAATGACCTCGATATGTCCAAGATCACCAGAAAAGTAAATATTGTAACAAAAAATATTTGCATAATTAATATAAGTGAGAAGCCGTGATAGCTCATTGTCCGGGCGCTCGCCTTTAATAATTCGATTTACTCAAGAAACCCGAGTTCGATCCCCGGTGCCGACACCAGTTTTTAATTTTAAATGCCGACTTGTCACGTGCTCAACGGTGAAAGAAAACCCCGTGAGGAAACCTTTCGAAATAATAACGAAAAGAAAATATTTTGAAAGTATGTGAAGTCCACCAAACCGCAGTGGGGCCGCGTGGTGGACTATAAGCAGCATTGGGATCAGTGGATTCGGCGAACTTGAAGATTCAGATTAAAAATATATCCCTATTTCTTTTCAATTTGGATGTTAGGACGTCACAATAGTGCGGGCCCATGCACCTTCATAGATAGTTGAAACGTGTATAGTCTGTTCAATATGTCCGTTTACTTCGGTAAGCTATAAGGTAATTGAAAAATATTTTATAATATTTAACTATAGTAATTAACTATGATTGACTCATCGATGAAATCAGTTTTGATCGTTTGCATAAAAATTTTTTGCACTCAAGATGAGTGTAAATTTTTGTAGATAAATGAACAAAAACTCGGCGCTTCGAACTTTCGAACAAAGAATCGAACCTGAGGCTTCTGTTTCCCGGACAGACTCTTTTCCACCCGAGCTAAGCGCCCGATGAACTTACGGCGCGAAGATCTTGACATCTATCTACGTTCTTTCTATTGAATTTTTAGCAATGCTTGGCGCCATCTAGTGTGCATCCTTTACAGAATACAACACCTCACATAAATCATTTATATATTATCTTATATATTCTAAAGCTTATATGATGTTTAATGCATATATTATTATTTGCTTTAAGTCACATAAATTTATATTGCAATTTCATTTATTGCACCTACCATGATTTCTCCTCACGCCGGAAGTTGACCGTTAGAGAACGCTAATAGACATCAAGTCCGCCTTTTGTAACCCTCTTTCGAGGTATATTCAATAAAGAATAAATAAATAAATAAAATAAAAAATAAACACCTTACAAAGACATTCAACTATGATCATTTGTAACGAGAGATGTTAAACAATACACAAATAAATTTAATTATAATGATTTAGAATACTTTTATTTTAGTACTTTCCAACACATTCAACAATGTTTACAGTATTCATTTATTCAAACGGTGTTACATTAAAATGCTGTATGTATTGTAATTGAAGAGGTGTCAAATTAGAATCTATTAATAATTTTGAATACAAAAAATGTAAATGTGAATTTTGAAACCGCACAAATTCGAGACTTCAAAACGGAGAGAGAGTACTCAGCTAATGTAAACTTTGGATCTAATAATTATTAATAATAAAACTTACAAAATTAAGGTGTTAGTCGACTTATCAGCAAACACAAAGTGCACTTATTTATTTTGTCCGCCTTAAAGTATAACTTAACTAAGCTTGCGAAATTTGAAGTATCCATAAAAGAAATCCAATAAATTTGGTATTTGGTCTATTGATGATTTCAATAAAAGAAATTAAAAAAAAAAATCTCGTACTCTTTTAATAATTTCTCAATAACTGGACTTCAAACTTTCACATGTCACAAATAATTAAAAGTTAAATTGATTAAGAACGAGAACTCCATGTAATATAATCTGATACACGTTACATCACTAACTCAAAAAAATTCTTATATTAATTTAAAATGTACCGAGTTATAAAATAACTAACAATTGGTCATATTGATTATGGGACGCTACTTCTGACTTTATAGTTACATTTAACATTTACTTTTAACCTGTGCTACCACCAATGGATGCCATAAAAACAAAACCTACAATATAAGTCCATATATGAAGAACTTTATAAATTTGATCAAAATACATTGGTAATTTCTACAATACAAATTTTATGAAAAATTATCTTATTTTAATTTAATAAAACAGTCACAGTTAAATAATTTGATTGAATAGAGAAGTATGAAACGGCAATCAATAATGGTAATATTTTATGATTTAACACTTCAATTTATATTTCACTATATTTTGAAGTCACACCGAATTTAAGCTACCTGGAAACACTAGTTGGAACAGCACAAACAAAATAGAGACATGTTTCTGCAATATTAGTTCTACACAAAATTTGAGAAAATACATCAAGGCAAAAAGAGTTCTATCTAACACGAAAATTATTTCCTTCAAAGACCGCCTTTACCTAGTGCGTTTTTCATTTCTTCCAAAAGTTCCTGTTTATCTAACACACCAAACACCCCTCACGCTCACAGAAAACAAGTGACAAATTGTCAAAGAACACCAAATTGATTCAGAAATATTGCTTTTCTTTTTGTTTCAATTTACTGCGAATAAAAAAATTGTATGTTAATTTGAATATAATCTATTCCATCAATATCCTCATAAAAATGAAATTAAAAGCCACAAAAATATTAGTATATCATTCAGAACTATTTTTAGTTGTATTTAGATTCAAATAACGACTTTTATATAACCCTTTAATACTTACAGACAATAGTTATATTCAACAATGATGTCTTATATTTACAGAGTACATGTCACTTGTGAAACCATACACGCATTAATTATGCCAGGGATCTAAAATGGCAGTTGATATAATAGAATTTTGGCCTCATCTGAAAACGAAAGTCTTGTATAATCATCTGTATAAAATTATTACATTCATATTTTACAGTCAAACAGTGTATTTAATAGGCCTTCAACATAATCGTAATATTGCTTTTACATAATAATGTTTGTTTATTACTTTTTATTCATATATTAGCAATATTTACATTTACTGCGCCTATATTTCTAAACTGTCATAAACAATACAACTTCTATTTGCAAAAACAAATCAAACCGAACAAAAAACACATCTAACACACAAAATGAGGAGGCACTTGCAGATTTAACTATTACGACCTTGTGACATACAAAGGCTTCTAAAGGGACTGACACAGAGCATGTAATATTTGTGAGTCATACTGCTTACAATTAATGGCTCCGTATCAATAGGAGCATCATTGATGTATCATTAGGAGATTCTTTACCATTGTTACACCACAGCTGAACGTAGCTCGCCAAAATTGTCCAAGGATCATGAGGACCAACAATCACATGATTACCCCTACAAAGGGGGATATTGTGTGGATTTTCAACCAACAAGCGGTTCGTCTATCTGTTAACTATCACGCTGATTTAACAATTAGATAACTGCGGTGATGTAATGCACTGGTTTTGCTGACTCTCTTTGATACTCAATCTCATGCCCGGTTCCTGAAACACTGGTCATCGTAGAAATTAACTAATCAGCTGTCAAATGGCTAAACAAATGTTATTCGAGGTGCCAAAGGGATCGTTAAACTCTCTGAATTTGATCAGAATGATTTTCTTAATGCTCAGAATGATCGATCCAAAGAGTTTAAGCATCCTTTTGGCAACCCAAACGACATTCGAAAAGCCATTTGACAGCTGATTAGTGGAGTTCTACGATGATCGGTGTTTCAGCCGGGCGTTAGTCTACGTTAAACGGTCCCTAAGCCAGAAGTCGCGTCCCTGGGCGTGCTGCGGGATCAGAATCTAGCCCGTATGTAGACGGCGGCGACGTCGTGGTTGGCGTAGCCGAGCCGCTTCGCGTGCTTGAAGATCTCGTTGGTGGTGGCCGTGAGGGGCAGCGACTGCTCCAGCGCGTCGCCCAGCCCCAGCGCCAGCTTCAGGTCCTTCTGCATGTGCGTCAGCGGCTGGTGCGTCGAGTACGACGACTCGATCATCGCTGCCGAGGGAACATATCGAATACAATGAAGGTACTAAATTAAGGCTCAAAACGTGAAACGGGGCCAGGTAATAGTTTAAGGCGGCAGAGAGTTTCAAAGTGTGGATGATAATTATTGACCAAATTTCCTGGGAGATACAGTGATAACGCTATGATAAGTATATTTCAGGACACATAAAACTGTTTGAAAGCACAACATTCTTTAGTCCCAAACGAAGCAAAGAACTATGGCACTTGTACTAGATAACTGACAAACATTTTTGTAAATAACAAGTATGTTTATAAAAGTGATAAAAACATTTTTATTAGCGGGGATGGAGCCCACAACATCTGGCACCTGAGATAGATTCAATTCCCACTAGGTAAATCTGATTATCAATTTGTATTGGATTGGGACTGGTCAGTGGTGTCAGGTCATGCTTGTTAGAATATAAATATAATCTTAAAAGAAGGAAACTGAAAGTAGTGATTTAAGCAAAATAAGTTTTTTATTTGTTTTGAAACTGTCCAGCGCTTGACTGCCAACCCACCTGATGATAGTGGTGATGCAGCTATATATGGTAAGTACGCTAGCTTAGCTAACTAGGCTGTTCCTTCTCTCTTTTAATCTCCCTTTTCTTCCTTTCTCTATTTGTAGATAACTTGCAGTAGTTGGGGAGGCCTACGTTCAGCAATATGGTAACTGCCCTTGAGGAGAAGGAGTTCTGGTCTATATAGCGAATGTATATAGACCAGAATATATTGAGGATGAGGTGAGGCCGATATAAAGAATGTGCGGGGTACTTCTGCCCTCGAGGATGAGGCTGGGGCCCATGCAGCGAAGGGCCATTTACCTCTGCCCTTGAGGATGAGGTGCGGCGAGGCGAGCGGCGTGAGCGCCAGCACGTCGAGCAGGTCGGCCTGGCTGAGGCCGGCGCGGTCGGCCAGCGCCAGCCCCTCGGCCAGCGCGGCCAGCGACACGCCGCCCACCACTTGCAGCACGGCGTTCATCTTCGACGCGTTGCCGATGTCGCCTGCGGGGACAAGTGCCAGTGGCACACTTCTGCGTCTCTCTCGTCACTCGCATGGCCGGGGCCCACTTTACGGGAGCATTGGGTCTTGCGACGACGGTGGTTATCACTTAACATCGGGTCAATCGCCACCTATTCACATATGAAACGAGAACTCGAAGTTTGGAATGTATGTGTCCCCCAAAATTTAGAGGGCTTGTTAATACCCTAAGATCCGACGATTATTATATTATTAATATCATATTATATTATTAAGATTATTGTATAACGTGTGTGGAAGAGAAGGAAGTGAGTGAGTGAGTGAGTGATTCAGTGTGTGTATGCGTGCGTACACACTTGCATATGTATGTGTATGTTACGTAGCATAGCAATCGGAGCCGCGCACTACTACCAAGGTAAAAGGAATTCTTGCTCATCGCCTTAAAGCAGGATTGGCAGTCGTCGAACAGGGAGCGGTCTCCTGCCGCCAGGATGATCAGCGTTCCCTCCTCGGCCTGCGTCTTCGAACCTTGGATCTGGAAAAACCGTACGGAACTCTAGCAAAATTCCTTCGTACACGCCACGGAACTGTTTTGCTTGAAATGGAACTTATTACATCCTTTCCATTTCGAATAAAGTTAAAATTTAATGAGAGGGACGGGGCAAAAAGTTATTCTCACCTTTTCCGTTTTTATGACCACATGTGTCCAGTAAACGGCGGGAGTACACAGTGTAGTTGGTTAGTTGAAAAAGTTTCCATCGGTACACTTACTATGAACGAATTTCAGATAAAAATAAATGCGATATATGCTTTATTTAGGGTCTAGATAAAAGCAGCAGCAAAAGGCTCTTTATATATCCCACTGCTGGGAAAAGTCCTCCTTTGTAAAGAGGGTATTAGGGTATAGTCCACCACGCGGCCCCACTGCGGGGATTGGCAGACTTCTAATATCTTCAAAATATTTTTATTAATTACTGCAGAAACATTATTAATTCGAAAACACGCAGGCTTCCCTCACCGCCGTGCACGTGATAAGTCAGCACTTAAAGTAATCATAATCAACGATTTCATTGGTGCCGGCCCCGGGAATTGAACTGAGATTGCCCGGACACTGAGCACCGGCTCCGGTCTGGATAAGACTCCTTCATTTTGCGACCAATGACGAGCTTACAAACAGGATATCCTTCGCAGGTTACTTCCAAGCACTCGCAAGGCACTTCTTACTAAAGACCACTTTGTCACATAAAAAAAATATATTAGCTTTACTGTTATTTTTACCATAATTATGTTCATGTCATTGTACTCACGAGTCTCTTTTTCTTATTCCTTGTATTTATTTATTTTCTATAGTAACTGTAATTTAATATTTCTAAATGTGAAAACTTATAAATGGCTTCTTTAGTATTTAATATCACTCAATTATCTTTGTTAATAGCTGTAAGTTTTCCGAATAAATTTAAAAAAAAAAAAAAAAAAAAAAAAAAGCCGGGCTTGCAGGTGTCCAAGCCGACCCACCTGCGCCTCCAGGTAGCGGCCGCCCTTGCCCCCGATCGCCTCCACGATGTCGTGCGACGTGTCGGCGTCTATCGAGGTCATCTCCACGTAGCCCTTGCCCTCCAGCGAGGGGCAGTGCAGCACGCCGCAGTTGCCGAACACCATCTGCACACCGAGGCCGCTCTAACTGTGCTACGGCCACGCGGCAGTCTCGTCTGTTGCACGAATGGGCAGGCTCGTCCGGGCAGGTAAAAAGTGTAGTACCACGACCGGCACAGAATGGGCAGGCCAGCCACGTAAAGTGGAAGTATGACAAATGCTTTCGCGTTTCGTTTGGTGAGTGAGGTAGCCGGAGCCCAATTTCCAAAAAGGTTGTCAAAGCATCTGCAAACCCTCGGGTGTAGCAGATGTCTATGGGCGGCGGTATTCACTTAACATCAGGTGAACCGTCTGCTCGTTTAGCAACTTTTCACATAAAAAAAAAGGTAAACAGCCTGCTCATTTGCCACTTTGTCGCATAACAAAAAGAAAAAGAAAACGTGCAAATCGCGCCAATCTTTTTTATACTGTATTTATTAGAGTAAAAAAACTACTGCGACTAGCTTAACTCGTTTAAAAAGGAGGTAAAGCACATTTGTTGTTTAGGTATATACAAATTGTAGATCATTCTTTATTTAAACTTTATGCACAGATGTGGAATGAGAAATGCAAAATTTAACGCTTTTAATTCCCTCCCGCTGCCGGTGCAAAAATAAAGTGACATTTACATTGCAAATTAGACATAAAACGCTTGTTGTATCGTAAAAGGTCACTGTAGAAAGGTCAATACGTAATTAAAGATCCAGAGTTCATATATGTATGTTAAATATCATCTTAATGCATTATCAAAATACGTAACTAATGAAAACTAGTCGACGTACTTATATTATTTAGTGATATTAATATTAATATATTGAACAAAATATAATATATTACACAAAAACAAAATAGAACATAATGAAAGTGTACGATATTCCATATTCGTGAATGGCTGTTTCTGTTGAAGTTAAATAAAAATACTTCTCTAGTAAAATAGACTTGAGTAGGGCGGAAAAAGTTTTTGTAGTTATCAACAAAGGCAATAAAGTAAACGTAGAAATGACATGAATAAGTCCTCCGACAGTATCCAGCATGCGGTAGCTCCGTACTTGCACAGTAACAGGATTCTATTATTAATTACAGCCCCTACAGATATATGTATATTAAAGACAAAACATATATTTCCAATACATATGCATATATTTTAGCAGGCCTTTACTTGAATATTATAGAGGATATTGAGGCATTATTTTGTGTTTGTATTTTAAATGGAATGGATTGAGTAATAAGTCTCAACGTCCAATGCGACCTAGAAAGTTCTATTTGAGTCGTCCCTTAAATATTTTTTTTTATTAAACAATATGGAGGCAATTTAATTAAATTAAATTACCTCCACACTGTAGGATAACATTATCCCGTTGTAAGGACCTTTTTTATAATCTATTCTCTATTTTTGACAAACAGTATCCAGATCGGAAATAATAACATTAAGGCATAGTCCGCGAGCCATGAAGCAAATTGGTCGACCTGCAGATTATTGAAGGCAAAAATCCGCGCATTGTACCGTATAATTATGTTAGTATTTTTACGGTGGTAGGGCCACGCAGCAGCCTCGGCTGTTGCACGAATGGGCAGGCTCGTCCGTGTAGGTACCACGACCTCACAGAAGACCGGCGTAAAGTGAAATACTTTCGCGTTTCGTCTGGTGAGTGAGGTGGCCGGAGCCCAATTATCAAAAGGTTGTCAACGCATCAGGACCTCTCGGGTGTAGCAGATGTCCATGGGCGGCGTCATTAACTTAACATCAGGTGAACCGTCTGCTCGCTTGGCAACTTTTCACATAAAAAATACGTAACTAATGAAAACTAGTCGACGTACTGATTTATTTAGTGAAATATTAAAATATTGAACAAAATATAATATATTACACAAAAACAAAATAGAACATAATGAAAGTGTACGATATTCCATATTCGTGAATGGCTGTTTCTGTTGAAGTTAAATAAAAATACTTCTCTAGTAAAATAGACTTGAGTAGGGCGGAAAAAGTTTTTGTAGTTATCAACAAAGGCAATAAAGTAAACGTAGAAATGACATGAATGAGTCCTCCGACAGTATCCAGTAAAATTTAAACATGCGGTAGCTCCGTACTTACAGTAACAGGATTCTATTATTAATTACAGCCCCTTCAGATATATGTATATTAAAGACAAAACATATATTTCCAATACATATGCATATATTTTAGCAGCCCTTTACTTGAATATTATAGAGGATATTGAGGCATTGTTTTGTGTTTGTATTTTAAATGGAATGGATTGAGTAATAAATCTCAACGTCCAATGCGACCTAGAAAGTTCTATTTGAGTCGTCCCTTAAATATTTTTTTTTATTAAACAATATGGAGGCAATTTAATTTAATTAAATTGCCTCCATAATCTATTCTCTATTTTTGACAAACAGTATCCAGATCGGAAATAATAACATTAAGGCATAGTCCGCGAGCCATGAAGCAAATTGGTCGACCTGCAGATTATTGAAGGCAAAAATCCGCGCATTGTACCGTATAATTATATTAGTATTTTTACGGTGGTAGGGCCACGCAGCAGCCTCGGCTGTTGCACGAATGGGCAGGCTCGTCCGTGTAGGTACCACGACCTCACAGAAGACCGGCGTAAAGTGAAATACTTTCGCGTTTCGTCTGGTGAGTGAGGTGGCCGGAGCCCAATTATCAAAAGGTTGTCAACGCATCAGGACCTCTCGGGTGTAGCAGATGTCCATGGGCGGCGTCATTAACTTAACATCAGGTGAACCGTCTGCTCGTTTGGCAACTTTTCACATAAAAAAAATAAAAATATTCTCTAGTGGTTCGGAATCGAATTTCGATGTCAGATTTGAATGCGATAAATTTATACTATTAATTGCTTGCGTTATAAATTTTATGTACGCTATAAGAATATTTTTTTTTTTTGAAAAAAAAAAAGTAATTCGTATTTGTATAGTTTGCTGATAAAGCGAATGAGCCACGAATAATCGGTACCTCCTTGGCAGCCTGTGGGTCTGCGACGCAGGAGAATGTGATGTCAGCTTCCTCTACCACATCGCAAGGCGTCACCGCGATCGTCGCGCCGACCTTCTCGAAGTCTTTGCACTGCGAAAATGAAACGGCGCATTGAAAATCATGTCAAACTTGATAGTTAAAGATACATAGCAGGAGCTAATTGTTCGACTGACGGTAATTGTAACAGCGCATGTGCTCGCTATGTTAAAGAGTATTGGTCCTAGATAACCTCCACACTGAACAAATCATAAACTTTACCCAAATTTTACCCCGATACTTTTATTACTCTACTATTGAAATTTAATAGGTACTAGTTAACATGTTTCATAAGTACTCCTTTTCCAAATTACTCAGGAGTCGAAATATACTATCTCATACATACGCATGTATGACGACTATTGTATAAACATTTTTTTTCTGTAACTTGGATAAAATTAATCATCACTACCTGCCCAGGTAACAATTAAAATACGTAAAATCTAGCTTAAATACCTATTGAATATATAAAGTTCGGCTTAACGCCATCTATAGGTCACAAAGCGAAAGTTATGTTCCACCCGTCGCCGATAGATGGCGCCGGTGGTCCACACGACGGACGAAATCGATGGACGCGCCACGCGAACGATCCGGCCGCGTCAACGACCGCGGCGCCGTCGGCGACCGCCGCCATTTTGATAACGGCTCTTTTTTTCATTCACGCACACAAGCGGCCGCAATAATGTGATCGTTAGCAAACGCGGCACTGACGCTCCTAATGTTAGAACCAAACTCGAGCAACACAATGAAATAAAGTTTTTACCACTGTAAGCGCATACCGATTATGGTGATGGTTTAATGATATGAATCGCTCTACCAACTCATTGAGGAGTTGTAAGAGGTGCTATCTTGCCGAATATGAAAAAAAAAGTTAATCGGTTGCACCTAAAGACGTCACAAGGCACGTCAACTAAATTTAATTAATTGATTTGATTTCACAAAGAAAACGATTTACTGCTAGGTAATCGATAATTGACGGCTGTAGGTCATAAGAAATTTACGAAAATCCTTCTGTGAATTTGTGTACTCGTTTCAGTTTAATGATTAATTTAAACATGCATAATACGTTTATTACAGTTCCGTTTTAATAACTAAGAAATTTTTTATTTTAACAAAGTTTGACTAACTTGACGTAAGACGTTTATTACCCAATTTTAAAAAGTACGTTCTTAACCGCTAATTGACGTTTTAAGAGCGGCAGTATTGTATATCATAAGAAATTTAAGCTAAAATCACACGACTTGTTTCCGTTTCATGACTAAATTAGTCGTAATACGTTTACGAATGTTCAGTTTTAATCAAAATAATTTGCTGGTTTAATAACTATATGAATCTTTTTATTTTAAGCATTACTTAGAATTATTTCTTGGACGTAGGAAGCTCATTATCCACTGTACAAAGTACATTCATAAGAAACATAGATTAAAGTAAAACAATTATAATTTTTCTTTTAATACTTTACATTAATTTTATATGTATGTTTTTTTGACACTGTCATAATCCATATTCCCATCTTTTTCTATTGCGATCAAACATTTTTGATTATAATTTGCCATGCAATTTGGCCGAGTGTAATTTCATTTCTGTACACATCAATCGTTAATAATGCATAATTTTGGAAGAAAAGACCTAATGTTATATAGAACGAGACTAGAGCGGTAGACGGAAAACACCGTGTACCAGTAGGGATAGCAAAATAATGGAATGGTGGGCCGGCGTCTAGCTTGGCGAGACACACTTATTACACGGCCAAAAGATTCCAGACGATTCATTTATATTCAAACACGAGCGATCGATCAATTGGGTACATTGTAAATAGTGACGTGCACGAATTACGGATTACCGAAGGAATATCTTTCATGAGCGTTTTCTTCAAGAATTTCTATTTAATAAAACAAACAGAACAAAGTATATGTTATGTTTTTAAATTCTGGTAAACAACCATATTTGCACATGTTATTTGCGTTACTACACCTGGCATATGAGTCAACAAACATGTTCTTCTTTGGCATTAACGGAACGGAACACTCAAGATATTTAATTATTTTAAGCCACACATCTCGCTCTATTTGTTGACTTTTATGGCGATTTACGCGAAGATATTTTATATAACCTTATTCCTAAATTATTAATTACAATCTTTCAATATAACCAAATCAAAATCTCGTACTATAAATGTCACCTTTTGAAATGAAGAATGATTCAAGGAAGCGGGGGTCTAGACGCCGTCTGTGGTCTAGCGATGGTCTAAAGAGCACAAATGTATTCTTAACTTTACTACAGAAAACCTTAATAATGCATATCAAAATCGAAATCATATTTCCTTGTATAAACTTTGTAGAATTTGCCGTCACTGTATTGACATTTCAAATCAAAAAAACATCGTATTGTGTTTAATCTAGTAAGTAAATTCAAAAGCATTTCATTAATATTCCTCGGCAACAATAGATAATTGTGAATTACGACCACATAGCTCTGATAGCTATCGCATGTAGTAGATGTTGTAGCCTCAATATCCAAGCAATTACGCAAGACCGCCACGTAGAAACAATATTACGTACCCCACTAATCGTTAGACCATACTTTACTAACCTTCTGCAACTGTAGCAAACATTGTAATAATGTGTTAGGTTAAATTAAAAATAAAAAATATCCAAACAGGCACTGCAACACATGCCTAATTGATTATATTCCGTAAAGGTTTTATTCTGACGTGATTAATATTGTGGCTGCTGCGTTCATTATGACGTAAACAGTCCATTTTCTCGTTCAACAATGCCTGGGAATGAATGTACAACACATATCGATTGATAATTACCAAACATTCGAAAGAAAACATTCACCCATTCGAACCTATAAAGTTACCACAGAGTGAGGGAAGATAGAAATAACATAAAGAAATTATTTCATACACAACGCTAGCAAGCGAAACAGGCGTCAATCACGAATGTCAGGCTCGGAAATGTTTTAAATAAACTTCGAGTAGAAATGGTTGAGATGAGCGTGCAAAGATAAATACTGCACAAATTCTCGGCGAATAGTTTTATTTGTGCAGATCATTAAACAAGATAATTACGGCAAAGGATAGATTAAATTCGTACATTATACACGAATATCTAGCGCCGTCCTCGTTTATTGAACAACACACAAGAAATAGAAAATTATTCTATTGTGAATAAATTATTACATGCAGGTGTCTAGCGTCGGCCCACTCGCACTTTCAAGCGATAACTCGGCCAAATTCTGTTCCCATAAAATAAATGCATCCGGCTAATTGCATTATAACGTTGTCAAGCAACAGTGCCTTAGTTAAGCGTTTAACAACATTGTTTTTTTTTTTTGTGACGTGTAGAGTTTGCTGTTAGCCCGGCGGCTTTGACAGCTTCGGCGGAAGTGGTCCGCGGGCAGAGGACCCACGGACTCGGGAGAACAACGTAGCTTGTGCACGACGACGACAAGAAAACGCCGTCCACTCCGCTGCACTCCGCAACACTGCTAACGAAAGATGGACAATCGACTAACAGGGGGGGGGGGGGGGGGGGGGGGGGGGGGGGGGGGCACGACACGATCCACGGGGGCCCTCGGATGGAGGTTCGAACCTCGGCTTGGATCGCAATCGATATGGTTAACAACATTGTCTTTGTCGAAGCGTATTAAAGGCAGCGTATACTTGAAAGCCCTTGACCTGTATCAGGTGAGGACTGTCTCAGTTACGTAGCCCGGAATATCGACTGACACTGAATGTAGAACGGGTCACAAAAAAAGAAAGAGTGAAGACATATGTTTATTGAAAACGTTTGTGCAGATTATATTTCCTGAACTTTTCATCTTGCCAGTTCTCCGTAAGAATATGAATGATGCATCACTAAGCACTTTCACAAACAAAACTGACAGACACGTTAGTTATAACTACGATTATTTTATTATTACTAGAAACTACGATTTCTTTAAAATGATCGCACCCAGATTATTCATTTAACAAATGAACTGGCATTAATATCTTTTCTTTACCAAATGCAGATTTTGTTTTCTATGAAAAATTAGCTGTAAATTCTTGAAACAGACCGGATATAATTCTAACTGCTAATTAACATTTCCGTGTGCAGCCGAGAGATAGATTAAAAATTCAAGCTGTACTTTGATGTCGATAGAAATATCAAATATGTCGATACGAATAATTAAAAAAAAAAATTATAACACATTTTTCATTTCTACACTCATACGTTGTCTAAGTAAAAAGTTACGTTATCTACAGGTAACAACTCAATCTGCGCATCGATTTGGAAAAATCCAAAATGAAATGATAACGAACGTACGCTTATTGTGATATTACCGGATTAGAAAATCGATAAGTCGCGTTTCGCTATCGGTCTGTGGCGTTGCCGATGTTTTTGTAAATCCAAGTTCATCATCATTCCATAATTTCAGACTGTTTGAGTCCACTGCTAAACATAGGCCCCCCACAGGCTGCCACGAAGCACGATTCTGAGCCGCATGCATCCATCGACTTCCCGCACACTTGCATGACCTGTGCATGTGTGCGGTGCCTGTTACTACATTTAGTGGGGGTCGTCTTATACTGCGATGGCCAGTACCACTCAAGAACCTTGCTTCCCCATCGGCTATCGTTTCTACGAGCTATATGGCCCTTCGCCTCTTCAGCTTACTAATCCTCTGAGCTGTGTCTGTTATCTTTGTTCTACTGCGGATATCTTCGATCTATCACGCAGAGAAGTACCAAGCATAGCCCGCTCCATAGCTCGCTGAGCGACTTTGAATCCAATTTATATAAGACGATACGACGTCATCTATTGCAATAAATTCGGTGCTATACGCGGGGCGAAGACTTACGCGAACAATACGCGTTACATACAGCTTGAATATTAATTCCGGGAAGGGCAATATCATAAGCCATAAGCGGAGATAGAGGCTGTTATGGATTCTTTGTCAAAAAAAACCAAATATAACACAATAAAAGGAATTATACGCTATACATGTAAATTGAGCCGTCATAGCTCAGTTTCCGAGCGCTCGATTTTAACTCAATATACTCGAGCTGGAGTGAGTTCATATCCCGGTGCCAGCACCACTGTAAATTAAGTGCTGACTTATCACGTGCTCAGCGGTGAAGGAAAATATCGCGAGAAAACCTTCATATTTTCGAAATAAAAAAAGTTATTTCGTATACATGTGAATTCGGCCAATGCACAGTGGGATTGCGTGGTAAACTATGCCCTAACATCCTCTGTACAGTGGAGGTTTTTGTCCAGTAGTGGGACATATGTGGGCTGTTAATTTTGTTACTTAACTTTATATATAAATGAATTGTTTACATGATACTCAAATAAAAAATACATTTACGATTGTATCGCTTTAAATTAATGGTTAATAAACGATTCTCGAACACTTTGACCCTTTATCAATGTTATTTGAATTGATAGTAACATTTAACAATGTCTACACTCGCGTTTTAATATATAGTTACGAATGAAATAAAACAATACGTATTATTTACGCGTTTAAAATGTTGGTCACGCAAGATTCCTGTAAACAAAGATTATAACAGCTAATTGAGATCCCATTAACTGTTGACCTAATCTAAAATAACAAATAGAGAAGAGAACAAAACTTGTT